GTTTAAGCTTACGGACCTGTTGCTATGACAGCAACTCCGGGATGAGCTTCGAAGAACCAAACAATCCAAGATCATGCCAAATTGTCAACAATCAAATCCAGCTAACTGAGTTAGCGACGTACGAAGAACGGGCCCCTGGTCTTATTTGCACCTCTTATAAAGCTTCATTTATTACAAAATGTAACGGGGCAAGAGTTTGTGATTTCATTGCAACCCAGAATTGCTTTTGATGCACACTTTTGAAAGCTCAAAATGATCCATAATTGAGTACTCAGAAGATAGCAGACTAAATAAAAAAAAACATATAATATAATATGTCAAATCATACAGCCAAAATTATCATCCTAAAATTAAATTACTTGGAATTAAATTTATATAAAATTATGCATTATATTAATTTAATATTTAATGTGTTTAGGTACACATTCATTTATTTTAGTTATTTTTTAATTATGTAATGTATGTATTGTGGTGGGAGAAAAAAAAAGACAATTAAAAATGTTAATATAAGCACTGGATTTGGAAATAGTGTAATGACATTATGAGAACTCGTGTGCTTCTCAGCTTGAATGGGGATTGGACTTTAATAGGTGATGGAGCAAATCAAAAATTAACAGTGATCCTCATAATAAAGGCTTGCACAAAATACGGGTGCCCTAAAATCGTAAATGTGGCGCTGAATCAAACACACACTCTGCAAATGTGGTTTTCCAGATCAGCATAAAAACCCATGTTTGTTGAGAAATGCAAATCTCTCGGTCTCAGCTCTCCTGGCCTAAAGATCTATTCAGTCAGGCCTGGACTGCGATAGGTACACAGAAAACAGGACGTAAAAGGGAAACAGAGGCTGTTCACATCCCTCCCTCCAGCCCTCCTCCACAACCTTGCTCATGTTTCACTACAAAAGTTGGAAGCCTTTTTCCAAAGAAGTAACAAAGAACAACATGATCCCTCGCAATAGTGTGTCTGGGAGTAAAAACTGAGTTTGCTGGCCCGCTTTGTTTTCATAATTTTTGATGTGTCCTTTACATATAAACATGCAAATTAAGTCATTAATGATAGGCTATTTTGCCTCATTGAGGTTGAGCGGGAGTGTAACTTGCACTTAAAGCATGTGGGGTTTCTCCTTAGGATCCTATGGCAATAATTACAGAGCTGGATTTTCTGATGAATGGGTTGTTGACATTTAGGCTCGTTCATAACCTGGGTCGTGGAACGCTGCTTCAGAGCAGCCAGTTGAGTTACAGAGTTGTCCTTTTATATTTTTGCTTTCCTTTTTATTGTTAAAAACATATTTTGACTGTTTGGCAGTGGGTCTGATCTATTCACATTAGACCTTCATTATGTCTTTGCTCTGCCCTTGACATCTGTATAATATCTGTCTCGTGATAAAATAATTTTGATAAATCTGAGTATTGCTATAGAATTGCAAAGAGATGGTGTTAATGATTTAGATTCTGATTTACTTCAAACTCCCTCAAGATACTTTGTTACCACACTATGAGTAAATGTTAATTATTGAGGATCAGCTTTATAATCCGTCATTGATAGTGTTATTGACCTAAATTTTTATGCTTCATTCTGTTTCATATGTGATGCAAGTCCCAGGTTGTAATCCTGATTATGAATCTGGAAAACTTTATCAGAGATTTTAATTTGACAATGCTTTCTTTATCTTTATTTTATAAAGGAGTAACCAGCCCTCTAGGAAGTTGTGCATTCTGGTGCACAATGTAAAAGGGGTCATGTGATGTACTGTAGTTGCATTTCCCATGACAGTGGAATTAAACACAATTACTCGAAAGTTCCACTGTTCTTGCTTTTTCTGTGCACAAACATCTGCTGATGCCTGATGTGGATTTTTGTATTCGGAGAAATCCATCCTTTCACACTGTGAAGTTTCATTCATATACACTGAACAAATTTTGGTGTAGGATAGACAGTACTTTGAAACAATTTTCATTCCGAAATTGCTAGTAAATTTTGAAGTAATCTTGAAGTAGACAGACAGTATTTTCAAATTTAAAATAAATAAAAAACAAAAATTTTTTAATGTATGTCACATTGTATTTACAAACTTGATGCTGAATTATGTAAAAACGTTAAAAGATACAGAGCTGTCAAACTATTGTGATTAATCATACAGCAAATATTTCTTATAATATTAGAATCTCATGTCAGAAGATAATTTTTAACAAACATTTTCTTCACTTTGGGGTGGATGCCTGTATACCATCAAGCGAATTACAGCCACAATGACAATAGTTAAACCAAACTCATTACTTCAAAGCAGAACCTGAGTGACTCCTAACTCCTAACACTAGATGGATGCCATGTCAGCTTCGGTCTTGATAATTGGGGCTTGTATCTTGTGCCCATCTTGTATGTGTTTCTTGTGCCCACTCTGACATTAAAGAGCTTCTGGGCAAGCTCTTTAATGTCCGCTGTGATTGTTGTGGCTCTTCATCACCATGGCGCTCCAGATTTCAGGAGCGCAAGAGCCCTGCCATACTGACATCTTGATATGCACATTTGCCCCATCTCCCATTCAGAGCAGACAGAAACAGCTTTGAAAAGGACTTTGGGAACTGCATGACTCGTAGAAGAGAAAAACATACCGTGTCTATTGTCGGCCGGTTGCCGGGCTATGTGTGACGATATTTGCCATGGACCGTTGTGCTCCGCAGGCCTCTTTCTAGCTGACACGACCCCCTCCTCTCCCGCTGCCCTGCCCCCAGCACTGCTATGGAAACTGGCACAGCTGAAGACCCATGCCTTCCTCTCACTGAGGAGTGTCAATGACAAAAACGTTTAGACATGCCTGAATGCCAAAAGCCACGCTGTCAGAACCACGAGGCATGACTTGATGATTTTCAGGACTTTTTAATTCAGTTCCTGAAATATGAAATGTGCCAAAGCCTGTGCAATATTGTTTATTATTATTATAATAGTCTACAGAATATAGCAATACAACTTAATATTAGCAATCTAAGAGAGTTGTTTAGGGTGCTGGTCCCTCATTAAAGAAGTACTCAAAAATGAAAATGTTGTTCTAAACCTTTATGACTTTCTTCCGTAATGGAAGTAAATGAGGACGGATGCAGCCAAGCTCCAAAATCTCAGAAAAGTATCATAACAGTGACCTGTATGACTCAAGTCTTCTGAAGCCATACAGTATCTTTATGTGAGGAACAGACTGATATGTTAAACATTTTTTAGTGACAGTGCTGTCATCTGAATGTCCTGTATGTAAAATATTTTTTCTGTCAAATCTTTTCAATTAATTGGTTGATTCAATTCATGAAACTGGTATAAATGATTTGATCTTATGGATCAAGTTTGTGAATGGACTTAACTCACTGACTAAATTATTTGGTTGCAGTGGTTAAAGGTATAGTTCACCCCAAAAATGAAAATTCTGTTATTAGTTTGAATTTTATTTGAATTAAACCGCTAAATTTATATGGATTTCTTTTACAATGTATGTATGAACGTTTTGAAGTGTAGCAGATTTGGTGGAAAGAACTTTCATTGGAGGGACAAAAATCTGTCAGGTTTCATTTCAAATATCTTAATTTGTCGTTTAAAGATGCACAAAAGTCTAGTTTAGAACACATAAGGGTGAGTAAAAATTTCATTTTTGAACTATCCTCCTACTGAAGGTGAAGTTTATGATTATGAATGGTTGTTTCAGTCTGTTCCAGTGACTTTAGAATATATGACTCGTAAAGTAATTTTATTATTATTCTTTTTTGTCATTTTGGAGCTTGTCAGCCCCAGTCATCATTCACTTTTAATATGTGGAAAGAAGTGGCCAGGACATTTTTCAGAAATTCATATTTTGTGTTATATGGAGGTAGCCTTATGCATTTAAAACAACATGAAGGCAAGTACATGCTGACACTGTTTTCATTTTTGGGTGAACTATTCCTTTAAGATTACTCAGGGAGGATGTCTGCTTTCTCCGAACCTTTCAGGCCCCAGATAAAATGCAAATGTACTGTCTCTCAATGCTGTGGGGCCTGATTGCTGTCTGGGTGACAAAAGGTGGAGCAGGCAAGAATAGAGGCCCTAAGTTTTGTATTTGCATCAGAAAGCTCCATCCCAAGGATCCCTTTTCCTTACCCGTGTTGTTTAGCTTTTTGTTTCTTTGCCCAAAAGCGATTGTTATTTCTGTGGAAGGAAACCTCCCAACAGCTGTATAACAGCCACATTAAAAAGAGCCAGAAATGTTGCAGAGCTGTGACATTTTGAGAAGATCCTATTGGGAAATTCCTCACAATATATGCTGCTTGTTTGGCAGAGTTCTAAGCTTCAGGGGCCCAAATGTGCTTGTCGGTGTATTATACTGGTGTGTTTGTTGTGATGCTTTTGAATGGCATGGCGTGGGAGTCATTGTTATCCACCCTGATAATATTATCCATAGAACAGCACTGAATATCTACAGTATGTGGGAAAACATAGCTATCATGCTGTTTTGTGTTTAATCTGCTGTAATAATAGGCCTTATTTATGTCATTAAAAATAATTCTTACACAGCTTGATATTAGTGATTAAATGTGGTTGTGATGGTCAGCCTGACTTGATCTTGTTGGCGATTTGCGACCGTTCAGGTTTGGTGACTGTTGGTTTCTGGCAGTGGTTCAGAACGCATGTTGTGTCTTAAGGAGACTAAGATGGGAACATGTCAAAGGGGAATGTGGAGTCCTGCCTGTTGGCAATATGTTATAGAGGAGCAAAACTGAATTAACACAGTTTCTCTTCTAATTTTAAAGCATCATGTCATTTTCTGAATATTACTGTTCTGAAATACAATACAACAAACCTCTGCTTAATGTTAAGACTTTTGTAATGATATATGTATTTAGTCCTATTTTGTTCCATTTTTATTCATTGTGTAAAATAATTTTTATGTGCTTTGAATGACCAGGCTCTTGAATATTTGGTTGTTAGTGCTTAAATATGACAACAATCGTTGTTTTATTTATTTATTTTTTCAGTGGTCAGTTTGCTGTGGTAAAGAAATGCCGTCATAAGAGCACTGGAGTGGAGTATGCAGCCAAATTTATCAAGAAAAGGCGCAGCAAATCCAGTCGGCGAGGGGTCTCCAAAGACGACATTGAGAGGGAGGTCAGCATCTTGAAGGAAATCCAGCACCCCAATGTCATCACCCTGCACAATGTGTTTGAAAACAAGAACGAAGTCATTCTCATCCTGGAGCTGTGAGTCATTGTTTTTCCTTACATTTACAGCCATTTCTAAAAACTAAGAACTCCGATTGGTAACAGACACTAGTAGTACATGAACAACTGCCTCTTGTAGAGCTCTGGAACATGATAGTATAAATAAATCTATACAAGAAGATTTCAAGGGCTCCTCACTGAATCCAGTAGCACCAACCTTTACATAAAAAGCTAACTCTTGACAAGGTCAACAGTGGGGGGGTTGAGGAGAACCAGTCCATTGAGTAGATGAACCAGTTTAGCTTGTTGTACTGTGCACAATCATACACTACTGCCAATGTGTTCAAAGAGAAAAGATATGTATTGATGTCTGTACTGTCTTAACTATAGTGGTACACAAAAACAAAGACCTTTGACTGATAAAGTTTAAGTTTTACATACATTAAAGGATGTCTTGAAAATTCAGATATAACAGCCATTTTACATAACCTCTTGATGAGGGTTGCGTCCTATACCATACTTGGCTACACGTCACGTCGCTTATATATATATATATATATATATATATATAT